TTATTTAAAGCACATTAGATTGACAAAATATACATTTAAATATTATTTTTTTGTTTTTTCAAATCTTTTGCACTTCTCTTTAGTTTAGTGGTATTAATTAATTTATCAGTTACGGCTTCACATTTACTTTTTTTGTTTTTCCAAATAAATCAATTAATCTCTTAAATGCACTGGTCTCTGCAGGAGACCATTAACTTTCTTTTTATAATTTCAGATTATTTATAGTTTTTTACTGTATTTTTCTATAATACATAGCCAGTATCTCTTTGAGCTTTTTATATCTACATTTGTCATGTATAATAAGTTTATCTTTAGCACATAGATTTATATACTCGTCTATCTGTATATAAATTTGTAAAGATATGTACTTTTAAAAATCGTAAAATTTAGTTGTATCATCGTCTAGTGTCGGCGAATCGGTCGTGAATCGTGCGTATTCAATAAATAATTAGCCAAACACTTGTCTAAGATTTTATAATGAAATAATCTATCTTTCGGGATGTTATATAAAAATAAGATGAATTGTAAATTGACCGTAATCTTTTCTCTCTTTAATTTTATTAGTTACACCAACAAGGAAAAATACTTCTCGCGCATTTTTTGAAATGTCTGGATGATATTGTCTCTTCCATGTACTATGGGAATAGTCCCGTTTTTAAGATAAAATTCTAAATATTTTAATACAATAAAAATTATTTAATTGTTTATTTATTAGCTTTTATTGGAGAAACGTCAGTTCTTCAGAATTTTTTTTAAGCAAACACAACTTTTTTCAGGTTACACAAACATCATAGTTATTAATAATTATTAAATCCTCAGATTAACCTTTTTATTTGTTGCCTAATAAATTTTTATACTAATTCTCATAGTTCTACTATCTTATTCATTTGTGTTTCTTTGAATTTCATTTTTCATAATTATTTTTACAATAAATTTATATTTATTTTCAATATATTAAAAAAGATATATTAAAAATAAATCAAAAAACGTATTTAAAATTATTTAAAAAGTACGTAATAGTTTTTTAAAAAACATATTAAAAATATAATTGTTATGACAGAAATCATAAAAGTCTTCATAATTTTAGTAATACAAACTAATACATATGAAAGTGTTTTTTTGTAGAATACTTATCTAATCCATTATTAAATATAAGTTAATATACTAACCTTAAATAACTGTTCTATAATTTATATTTAACATATTACAAATTGCGGCGTATTTTTTACTCTTCGTGTGCTCCTTTTATATACTTCGTATTTTTAAATTTTATTTTAATTTTACTTGGATTCTGCTACTCGCCTGCTTTCTAAAACTTTAAATCCCACACATGTAAATTTGGTTTTTTTTAAAATTTATACTACATCTTAAAGAAATTCTTTACTGTTATTAATTTAAAAAATTGCATTCTTCAATGTAATAAAGTTCTACAATTTCACAATTTTAACATCTTATTACAACAATAAAAATTAACACAGGTGAATATTGTTGATTGTAATAAGTAAAAACTTTGCGATTATATTACAGCTTTTACGTATTAAAATTGAAATAGATTTTTTCAAAAAAGATGTACATTTTAATTAAAAATAATTAATATTGAGACATTTTATTTACTAAGGGATGTTTAAATTTTAAGGTAAACAAAAATTTAATTTGATTTAGAAGAAATAACCTCTTCATGAGAATTATTAGCGTTGTTTGATAATTTTGATTTATTAGCTGCACTACGCCCTACAAATGCTTCTTTTTCTAAATTATGTTCATTATTTATTTTATTTGTCATTATTTCATTGTCATTTTTGCTTTGTTTTTGTGCTTCTGTTCCATTTTCTGAAATATTCTCGTCTTCAATGCTTTTATTTTCAGTGTTTAAGGGTCTTGATTGCTCAACTTCGTCTTCAGCTTTGTCAAAATTTTTATTTCCCGAGCTGTTTTTATTAAAAATGCTATATTGTTTTTTTAATTTGACAAAATGCCATAATAAGTACATTGTGACAAGCAGAAACATTATAATCAAAATTAACAATATCGTAAAAATTTTGTTCATGATTTTTTCTGATTTTTTGTTTAAATATTAACCGTATCATATTTTTTTGCGCAATAAAAAATAATTTTGACGACTTTTGTAAATTCAAGTTGCATTTAAGCTCTAAGGTTATTACTTTATTTTTTTATAAATTAATTTTGATTTTAATTGATCAAACAATAACGCCATTCAAATGACCAATGTGTCATTTGGATGACACAAAAGAAAATTATTAAAAATACAAAGATTTTTATCATTAATATAAATATTTTTTTTGACGAATAACAGCAAGCACTTGTGAAACATTTTAGATGAAAAAATATTTGTAAACAAGAAAAATTTAAAGAAAATAGAGGTTGTGTTGATAGGCGTTTCAATAACAACAAATAAAAAGAACGTTTAATTAGTAAAAGCAACGTATGTTTGATTATAAAACAAATTTTAATGTTTTAAAAATTCAATAAAAGATTACTTTCGTCCATTTTATTATCAAGACTTGTTCTTGATTTACCTAATCAACACAATTTGAATATGTTAAACAATAATCATAAGCATTAATATTCCAGCATTATATATAGCTTAATATCTTTTTTAATTTTATAGGTTAAAAGACAAAATAGTAATTTTTTAAAAAAAACAAATTTAATGAGGAATTTAACTTATAAATGTCACAAGTCTTTAATTATATAATATAGAAATGTGTAGAACATGCCAAGACAATGTTGCAATAAAAGACGGATTTAATATGTCTATTTATAAATAAATTAGAATAGATTAATTTATTTTTTTTGTTCAAACAAAAAGCATAGTGTCTTTACTTACCGTTAAATTATCCTGTAAATACTACACTAAGATTGTTATAGAGAAGTTTTATTAAGCATTTCGAAAAAAAATTAAGATATTGATAATAGTTTCTAAGTCAATAATTTTCTTTTTTCAAAAATAATAATCTATATTTGTAAAGACAATATTTAAATATAATTATGTAAAAATTTCGATAATTATTCGCATCTTGTATCTGCATTTTCTTTGAATTTAAGTTTCAAAAATTTGTTCTTTAAATAAATTTGTTTATAGCAAATTAAAGATGTTTTTCTCTGAAAGATTTTAAACAGAGATAAGGAAATATTTTTGTCATAGCCTCATATAACAAAAAAAATAAAATTAAAAAATTTTATTATAAAAAAAAATAAATTAAAAGAAGGAGAAGACAAAAATGAAAAGGAACGAAAATGTCTAAGGAAAATTTAATATAGGCCCCACATAGCGCATAAGGTATTAAGGCTTCCACCAAAATATGGATTAAACAAAAACATTTAAAGTAGCATTGAAAATTGTTTTTGACTGCAAAAAATCTCATGGGGCATGATAATTTTGATTATTTAATTTACACATATTTATTGTCTAGATTGAGAAAAAAAATTGTTTTTGAAAGATATTAGTCAATTTCTGCCATAAGTAGAATAACAAAAGAACATTTCTAAAAATATTGTTAGATGACAAGCAAAGCAAGCGTAAAGATTATTTACTTTATTTGGTAAATTGTATTATTGAAAAGCACAATGGATAACTGGTAAGATAATAATTTATCTGAAATTCTAGCAGTATATCTGTTTCATAAATTTACTTTGTGGACCCGGCCGATGTATTTGTATTTATACACATTTAAAATATTACATGGCTGTAAAAAATCTTATAAGCTAAATACGTAAACCCAGCAAAAATGATCCTTTGTTTGTTATGTCTGATTTTTTTGATTATTATCTTTCTGTGTAGCGCATCTTTAAAGTTTTATATTTCTGCTTTTTAACTGATTAATATTTTTTTTATAGATACAGTTTGTCTAAAAAAAATCAAAAAATATTCTCGAACACTACTTACGAACTAAATTTAAACTTTTATTAAAATATAAAAATAAAACAACAAAGATGTGATACAATTTTTAATTTTTTAAACCACTACAGAATTCTATTAATCTATTATAAAGTAGAATTTTAAATTTTTAAACAGTTAAATCTGATAGTTTTTACCAAGATTGTTAGACATCATAAAAACCTCAATTATATTAACATCTAGAATAAAATAATTTATGAATTGTAAGCTAATCTTCTAATTTATAATTTTACAATAAAATGAAATAATTTATAAACTAATCTTTTTATTAATAACTAGCTAAAGCCACCCCGTTTCAAACGGGGCTTTAATTAAATGTATGCTTTTGATTATTTGTATCCTGCGTCAAGTTTTAACGTTTATGTTTAGAGTTCATAATTTTCTGTTTTTATTTTGTATAAAAGCTGCAGTAACACACCTTTGAAATTAAATTTTTGAATACAACACAAAAAAATATAGTGAATGTTCTGTTCT